GGGAGACAAACCCAAATTCCAATAAATGTGACACATTGGGCAAGCTTTGGTCTTCCCCCCTTCACATGAGATGAGTGAGATGATTAGTGAAGTAATCCCAATCTGTGAGGCTGAAAAAAAATCATCGAAACATACCTTCTTTCCAATTCACAGACACTGGGGATCCGTTAAATTTTCAGAGATTTAAAGGTTGGGAACTCCTGGACTCCATCAGAGATTCTCAGTAGGTTTTAAGGGATTTATACCTGAGATGGTGGCATGGCCAGAGCTCTGACAAATCACAACCATATACATGTCATTTTTCAATGAGGCTAGATGGTCACCAAGGTCTCCTACAGATCTATGATTCTGTGATTCTGATCATGCAGACTTCCATATACTGATGTTGTGCTCACAGAGGTATGCTATTGGGGTCACCTCTCATAAGGAAGATGGGTTTGCTGCATGTCCTCTGAATGGCTTAAAATATTGCAGCCTGTATATGCAAAACATTAGCAAGGTTACATTCCCCAACCCATCCATAAAGAATCTACTGAAAAATCCCTAAGAGGCCGAGACAGTGATTGCTATAATTTTGCATGTTTTTCAGTGCCTCATTCAGCAACCTTGTAAAAATGCTTTGCATGGATAAATGCACCACATAAAGATTGAAGCAAGTCTTAACTAACTAACCTAACCAAAAAATAGGGTTACAAAGTCTGAAAACTCCTTAGTAAGCTCAGAAAGTTTATCGATTGAAGTGAACCTTAAGTTGGTACTAAATGGTGGGTAAGAGAGAACAAAAACTGATTTAAGCAAGGTGTTGTCATACAAAATAAAAATTGAGAAGTCACGGAAAATGAATAAAACGTAGAAAATATGCATGCTAAATTAGAGAGTTGGGTTAATGAATGAAGATAGCCAGCTCAGGCCTACACATACAATATGAAATTGAAAGTGTAGCTCTCTGTACTTGAAGTCAGAGATTTCATCAAATTCTGTACTATGAGCTAATCATAATTAGAAAAAACATTGCCCTTTAGAAAAAGTAAGCACATCAATCAATTACAGAGGGGGAAAATTACTGGAGTGTCCAATTAAGAAAGATCCTAGGTTAATGGCTGGGAGTTTAAGAGGCCTATATAAATACATGCAAAATTCTGAATACATGCATTTTTAGGACAAGGGAGTCATTGCTTTCTTTAGATTCTTAATGAGATGATGGTCCCAAACTGGCTAAGACCGCACCGATTTAAGTAAAAATCCAAAGTCTTTTGAATACCCATTTGTCAGAATTTAAGAAAAGAACAACTTTGTAAATATAAACTGCTACCACAGAAATGGTACTGCTTTTATTTTTGGCTACTTTTCTAGGGCTGTGTATAACTTATAGTACTTAGTGCAAAGCATGGAAATATCACAAAGTTTAACAAATGAGAGAAAAAAGGTTTTGATTTGACAAATAAAACTCAAACTATACCAAGTTGCATATAGAGAAGTAGGTGTTTCATACGACCAAAGTAACATTTAAGGGATAATTAACATTCAAAGTCAATAGTAATTAAGGACCTACTGTAGAGCACAGGGAACTCTGCTCAATACTCTGTAATGACCTATGTGGGAAAAGAATCTAAAAAAGAGTGGATATATGTATAACTGATTCACTTTGCTGCACAGCAGAAACTAACACAACATTGTAAATCAACTATACTCCAATAAAAATTAAAAACAAAACCCAAAAAAGCCAGTAGTAAACAACTTTCCCGCACGCTGCTCCTGAGGTGGGGCCAGTAGGCCAAACTGATAGTACAATATTGCCCCCTACTGAACTGTACTAGTAAAGATAAACCTAGAAGAACAGGACTTTAAAGTGCTTACTTTTAAAAGGACCTACTTGGAATGCTCTTTTCCCATCAATACCAGGTTAGCCTAATATTAGCATAAGTCTGGGTTATTCACTCTATGGTAATTTTAGTGTGGCAGTAATGTAATGTGGTGTAGGAGTTTAGAGGAATCAATCATGAATATAAGGTAACATTTAAAAATTACTATAATAAATATTTTTCTTAAAACTATATAGGATCTTGAAGTTTGTAAAGGCTGAACAAAGTCTCTAGTCTAACCAACTATAGGTTCACAACTTCCTTACATATATATATATATATATATATATATATGTACATCTGCCAAGTAGTTGCCCAGCCTTGGCTTAAACATTCTGGTGACAGAAAACTCACCATTCCTGAAAACAGTCTATCCTGTTTTGGATAATCCTCCTTACAGCTGAAAATTACTCTATCTCTCCAGGAGAAAACCCCTCAAATATTTAAGCAGGGCAAATTTGTCCCACTAAATCATCTATTCTCCAAATTAAATAACCCAAGTTCCTTTGGCAGCAGCTCCTGTGACCAGGGTTCAGATGTCTCCCACATTCTAAATGCACTCATCTAAATGTGTTTGTTTCTATTGTTGCTATAACAAATTCCCACAAATTTAGTGGTTTAAAACACAAATTTATTATCTTACAGTTCTTTAGGTCAGAAGCCTGACACTGGTCTCACTGGGTCGATAGGGCCATATTCTTCTCTGGAGGCTCTAGGCTAGGAGGACCTGTTTCCTTGCTTTTTCTAGCTTTCAGATTCCACTCATTTTCCTGGGCTCAAGGCTCCCTCCCACTATCTTCAAAGTGAGCAACACTGCATCACTCTGACCATTCTTAAGCAATCACCTTTTTCTCTTACCATCACCTCAGCCAGGAAGGGTACTTTTAAGGACTCACATGATTAGGTTGAGCCCACCTAGATAATTAAGGATAATCTCTGTATCTCATCATCCTTAACCTTAATTACTTCCACCAAGTCCCTTTTTTAAAAATGCAAAATAACATATTCACAAGTTTGGGGGACTACTACAAAATGCCTTCCCATTTGTATTTGCTCCTCCTAAAGTAGAACATTCCATCTGACTATGGTACGCTAGGAATGGTCAGCACTGAGTAAAAAAGGATTGTCACCTTCATCTTTTCAGATACTATACTTCTAATATCTGGATGAAAATCCAGAGAACTTATCTAATCACACCCATAATTCTCATTGGGCTACTAACTAAAACTCCTAAGCCATTGCTATAAACACAGCTCTTTTTTTTTTTATTGGAGTATAGTTAATTTACAATGTTGTGTTAGTTTCAGGTGTACAGCAAAGTGAATCAGTTATACATATACATACATCCACTCTTTTTTAGATTCTTTTCCCATATAGGCCATTACAGAGTATTGAGTAGAGTTTCCTATGCTATACAGTAGGTCCTTATTAATTATCTATTTTATATATAGTAGTGTGTATATGTCAATCCCAATCTTCCAATTAAACATAGCTCAAGCCACTCCTGCCTCATCCTTTACTTGGCAGTTGTTTTTCTAAACCCAAGTATAAGAACGTAGGTTTAAGGACTTCCTTAGTGACGCAGTGGTTAAGAATCTGCCTGCCAATGCAGGGTACATGGGTTTGAGCCCTGGTCCAGGAAGATCTCACATGCCGTGGAACAACTAAGCCCGTGAGCCACAACTACTGAGCCCACGCTCTAGAGCCTGCGAGCCACAACTACTGAAGCCTGCATGCCTAAAGCCGTGCTCCACAACAAAAGAAGCCACCGCAATGAGAAGCCCACGCACTGCAACGAAGAGTAGCCCCCGCTCGCCGCAACTAGAGAAAGCCCTCATGCAGCCATGAAGACCCAACGCAGCCAAAAATAAATAAATAAAAACAAGAAGAGTTTATGCAGAATAATTCTATTTTTTAAAACAGCATCTTCTATTTCTAATATGGAATATAAATACTTCATAAGTATTCAAAAGTTAATATTGTTAAAATCATCACATGTGGTAAAAATGGACAATACAAATTTTAACGTAAAAATATAAACTTTGAGATGAAGATTGGTACTAAGATATATAACCACACTTAGAAAATATATTTCTTTTCCTATTTTTGTTACTCAAACACTGAAAGCTTTTGTGAGTCACTTAGCTTTTGGAAGTCTGTTTTTCTCCACCAAAATTGGACCCTGGAGATGACCTATCTGTGAGAAATGCACTGATGATTGACTAGAAAATGACTTTAAGTGTTTATAAACCTCAGTATTATCATTATCACTGCCTTTACTCTTCCATTTGCTCCATTATCTTGTCATCAACAGAGATACTACTTAAAATCACTCTACTCTTTTTCACTTCCCAGCTCTTCTCTATCATTTATCCAGCCTCAACAAGTCTTAAGTCAATCTTTAGCCTTTTAGGGACTAATAAACATATTCACCCAAAGAAAATGATGGTATAAGATGTAAGGTGATGCTTTGGGATTCTTAGGGAAAATATACCTCATACATATAAATAGATGTGTTTACAGCTCATTATAATTTGAGGTTACAGAGGCCATTCTCTCTATACTACATTTAACAGTATTAACAAAGATAGTTTTGTGTTTTCACATCAGTTTCTACACACAGGAACATTACAATAATGACTACTATTATTTTTTTCACTTACCAAAAGAAAAAAGTTAAAATAAATATGAGGCTATTTCTCTCCCTTTTTCCATTGACTAAAAGAGGTGCCGTCTTTTTATATTTTACTCTGGAAAAGAGAAGGCTCATCAAAATTAAAATGATCTTATCCTAGGACCATTATAAAACACATACATCTGCCCCAAAAGATCTCTGAAGTCCTGGTCAAATATCTTTCTCTGACCAACATGCCACTCGATGAATGTTGCTACTGAATTAGGACCTTTTAAAAAGATGGCAGTACTGTGATGAATAAACTAACTTGAACCAATAATTCCTTTTCTCATCCATTCACTCAACATCATTAAGCAACTATAATAATGTAATGCTTTCAGTCATTCAATAAATTCATAAAATGTGAAAATATAATATGGGAAGGAATATTTATACTTTCCTATTTTTTTAGAAATTTCTATTGTGTACTTCACATATAGTTTTACGTATGTAAATGACCTTACCTCTCTTACAGATAGCTGTGGTGGGAAGGAGATTGACAATACCAAGTTGGTGAATTCAAACCCAGAGGCCTCAACCTTTTGGCACACCTAAAAAAGTATTACATAAAAAGTATTTTTTATTACATAAAAAAGTATTATATAAATTCCAAGGAATTGCTCAAATTTTTACACTAATCTTCACAACATGAATTTTTGGTCCAGGAGATGACACTGCAAAACTTCTAAACTTTTACCTTTGAGTAGGAAACTCTCACAAACATCCTGAAATCAAATATTTGCCAACTATGACCCTGAGGACTGATATCACAAGGTGCCAAAAGAGCCAGGACTCACCTGCAGAACAACCTGTTGAATGTCAAAATACTTTTCTATTAAGTCACCTGGTAATTCAGAAAAGATCTTAAACAAAATAAAGCTAAATAGGCACTCCTGATACCTGGAAACAAAAAGCAATCCCACCTTCAATCATGTACCTTCCTCAAGGCTGTAACACTAGTCTTTTCTAGACACTAAAAGGTATGACTAAAGAACTTTTCTCTAACTCCTTAGCTATGTTAAACAGCAAAGGGAAAATTGCTACATTTTTGTTCAGTTGAACAGCACTCATAACTGAAATACATGGATACATATTTCATTAATTTTCAGACATGTTGATAAAAAGGTAATTTGAGAATAGTAGGCTTTTTTAAAAAAAAATTAAGAAAACGTTCTAATGATTCATTTGTGTGAAACAAGTTGAAACGAATGGCATTGTTCCTTTGGATACAAGAATTCTAGGCCTTAGAACTGAAAATCTTTATGAATCGCACATTAATAAAAAAACAGTTTACCTTTTTAATGAACTCTTTTTCACAGAAGTCTTGAAGAATTCCTAGGCATACATTGCATACATTTAAATTTGAGTTCTTGGAAGCAATGCTTCCATCTTCAATAATCGAGATCTTTCCCTCTCCATTTTGACTCAGATTATCCATCCCATCAATCCCATCTTCTAGTTCTTGTAGTCGAATTTTCTTGGGAGGTGGGTTTGGAACTTCTGAAATTAATTCATCTTTTGCAGTTTCCAGAAATTTTTGCAGTTCACTGAGCAACTCCTGGAAAGTTAATTAAAAAAAAAAAAAAGTAATGACCCTTTAACAATGTCCTTAAGGGTAAGATGAAGTGTGAAAATTATGATATATCACAGACTTATACAATGCTGACTTATATCAGTTCTGGAGCAGTTAGTTTTATTAGCCAGCACTGGCTTTCAGGAGAATTTAAAAGAGAATACCTAATTCCTATAATATATGTGTGAATATTTTTTCAAAAGAGTTTCATACATAAGTGAAGCTAAAATCCTAAATCTGAGATGGAAAGGCTCCATTAACAAATTTATTAATTTGGCCTGTAGTTCTGTTGTGAGGGTCATTCACTTGCTAATTTCAGCAAAACAAACAAACAAAAACAAAAAAACCCAACTTCAATTCTAATTATTAGCAAATAGAAATGCAAACTGAATTTCCATCTATGCTAGGTTATTTAATAATCTCACAACCACTAAAACTTCATATGTACAATATTTAATATGAAATATGAAAAATTACATAGATTAGAAGTCTATTAAGTAAAAATAATTTCTAGTCAATTTACTAAACAAAGGCAAACAGATGCTGGCAATGCTGAAATTTGGCATCATAATTACAAACCATTTACAGGCATTAATTGAAAAAAGCCCTCTACTACATTCTGGTTTGCCTAATTTCTGTCACTCTTTGTATTGGAATGTAAAAAGTGGCATTCCTTTCAAACCACTATCATATTTCAGACATTCCACTCATCTAAATACTCAGAGGACTTTTCTTCTGTTTTGTCTAAATTGGGCAGGTTTTATTATTCAGTTGTTGAATAAATATCCTTTTGAAATTCACTCATATTACAATTTACTGACTCTAAAGGGAAAAATCTTTCACTCAAACAAATTTAATTCATTTTATTAAGACATGAGCTCTCCTATTAAATCTTTAACAGAGAAATACATACACATATACACATACAGGCATATTATGGCCCACACAAATATGTTTATTATTACCTAAGACCTATAATGTCAATATAACATCGTACAGATACATGCATGTGTACATATATCACATGAATAGAAAATATCAAAATATATTTACCCAGAAAAGTCCTCAGATATTTTCATATTTATATAAAATGATACAAAAGTTGGCAACACTAAGTGTCTTTCTATAATATATATTTTAAAACTTACAACATATGTATAAAATAATAGATTATAAATGTGTCTGAAAAAAATTGTAAGGCAAGTTACACAAACTCAATCTTATCACTTCATAGTCATTATGCGTATCAAGAAATATAGATGTATATATTAATCATCATAGCATATGTACCATTTCCAGTTTTCAAAGTGTTTTCACATACTTTATTAGATATTGTCCCTTAAAATCCTGTGAGGTGGATGTTATCATCATGCCCATTTACAGAGAAGAAAACTGAAGCTGGAAAGTGGTGAAACTGGGATTCAAATCCATGTCTTCTAGCTCCAAATTCTAGGCTTTGGATTCAGACAGACAGTTCATATCCTAGCTTGCTCACTTAATAGCTGTGTAACTTTGGGCAGGTTGCTTAACCTCTCTGTGCCTCAGTTTCTTCATCTGAAAATAGAGACAATCATAGTATGTACTTACCTAATAGGTTATTGTGAGGATTATATGAGAGCTTGACATATAATAATGCTATATGAATATTGGATATAATTATTTCCAAAATAATAGAAACTAATACATAGGAGAAATGACTGCCATTGCTAACTCCTGGGCAATTTTTTTTAATTATAGGAAGCTGAATGTGTGTGTGTATGTGTGTGTGTGTGTGCATGTGTGTGTGCGTGTGTGTGTGTGGTGTATTCGTACTGTTTATAAGTACATATTTACACATATGTATATAATTACTATCTGCCTCTGAAAAGAACATCACTGTTAGAATAAAATATATTTCACAAAATGTTATATATTTTATATGAAATACTCTATTAAATGTCAAAGCTCTCTGTATATTACCATAAATGTCAAAGACCTCAGTATATTACTTTTGCTATTAATAGTGGTAAGTGATAATAAGCATTTACTTCTAGAGAGTTGCAAACACCTATTTGTAAATACAAGTGGTAATACAGAAAACAGAAAAAGAAAAAAGGCAACCAAACCCACCATGCTTCCACCCCCCCATTACATTTTACTAATATCTGGTGAGATGCACTATTTTGTGATATTCTGTCTAGATATTCTTTAGGAAAGATCTATGCAAACATTAAATGCACCAGTGAATTGCTTCACAAAGATCTCACTACATTAAATGTTAAATATAATCACTTAAGAAGGAACTTACATTTTATATGGTAATGGCAATTCCCAAATTACCATTATCGGTAACTACTTTATTATAGTTTTTAAAAAAATTTAATGAAGAGTTATCAACAGATACTTGCCCTCAAATACACAGGTATTGATTTAAGACCCTTTCTTAACTTAAAAAAAAAAGGAAGGAAGGAAGAGAGAAAGAAAGAGAGAAAGAAAGAAAGAAAATACCCTTACCTTGTAGGGAAGTTTGTATGGTGCATGAAAATCCACACCACAGAATCTGAAGATACATCTTGGACAGGTACCAGTACTGAGCAACAACTGGGCCACATGCTTGTTTTCCACAGTCAGTGGAAACATATTAAATAGCTACAACTAGAAAAAAAGAAAAAGTAAAACTAATGAGCACCTTTTGTGTTTTACTTTCACAGACAAATATATGGTCACCTTTAAGGATAAAAATCTTTAAAGATAAAACATTTATATTTGAAAATCACTATTTGGTATTCTCCAATAATGTCCCTTTCATTAAATCCATATTGAAACAAAAACTTGAAGGCAATTTATTAGATGGATCAGGTAAAAGTTTCTAATTGTCAAGGACTTTAACATTCTGGATTATGATAAAGTGCATCAACATAACTAAATCAATCAAAAGAAATAAAAACTAATAAAAAATGGCTGTCTCTAAGGAGGGTAATGAAAACAAGAATACAGAGTGTAATTTTGCTTTTTATTTTGTACCATTCAGTATTGTTTGAGAACACAGAGTTGTAAATTCAATAAACTTTCCTGTTAGAAATAAGAAATGAGTTTGCTAGAAAAAATAATCAGATCAGTCTATGTTATGTAATACTTGACTGCCCTTAATGATAGTTAAGCAGTCAAGTATTCAAAGCAAACTGATCAGATTCAAAAACATCAATTTTACTTTGATGAAATAATAACTAAATAAAAACCAACTATTAGCAAAATGAGAAAAATCTTCCTTTCATACACAAGTAAAAACTCCAACAAAAACAAATAAAGTGCAAAATATTTGAGTAATTATTATCTAAAACAAGTTGCCACTTTTTTGCAATTTGAACAAACTCACTTGGAAGTAAATACGACATAGAGAATGGGTTCTTGTTGCCAGGAAGGAGTGGGGTAATGAAAATTAAATTTCGTAGTCATTCTGTTTGGAGGGAAAAAAAGGTCTTCTGATTAATGAATCAGCTCACATTACTTTAAAATGAGGAACTAGTGATATTTTATAAAACTGTGATTGCATGGTTATGGTACTGAGGTCATAGAGATAAAAGATTGTGGCACCTTTAATTTGTTCATTTTCATAATTCAAATGAACTTAGTTTTTGTGGAGGGTGAAGCTCTTACCAACTGCTTACTATAAAGATGTGACTCTTAGAATTAGTTTGTGTTTTCTAACCCTTTAAAACCCACTACTTACTTTCAAGTTTCTAAATGTTTGTGGCCACTTATCAAGAATAGATCCTTGACAGAAAACAGATAGTACTATGGAACTCTTCACAATAAAAATAAGGTCAGCAAGCAGGACTACAAAAACCAGATTGCCTGTGGCTGGGTTCTAATTCAAGGTACCAAAATATGTGAGTTGTCAGGGAGGGGAAGGGAAGAAAACCAAGCTTCTCTGGACACACCAGTGAGAACTTTCAGACACCCAGATTGGGAAACACTGATTAGGATTGCCTAAGTAAATTTGAGCTCCAGAAAGTACAGAATATGTAAAGAACAACCTCTGCATAATGAAGCTCTGTGTGATCATTGTTATTTACAAACGATCTGAATCCCTTCCCCCAGCTCATTTAATCTAATAGTTTGATGCTGATAAGGGGTTGGGATTCTTTGAGGAGCTGATTATCATCATTTAAAGTGTATCCCAACTGCATTCCCCTCACAGAGAAACTGTTTCTATTTCGTCCTTTTTTTCTCCTCCTTTCCATTAGCTAAAGCCAAGGATTTCATTTAATTGAGAATTAACCTTTAACTCAGAAAGAGAAACCAATAAACCCTCCTGTCCAATAAATAAATCCAGGACTGAGTGCTTAAGATGGGCACTTTGTATCAAAGATTTCCCAGGAGACTTAAGTTAAATAGTTGTATTAAAATGTATGCTTTTTCCCCCAGTTGGCTTAAAGACAATGTTTGTTTCTCCATTAGGTTCACTAGAACAAAGGTATCACACTAGTCAATAAATGACACATTATACTCTCTTGGCTCTAAAGTTTCCAAACCCGTTCAGAATTAGGAAATCTCCTGTCTTAAGTAATTTGAAGAGGTCTTAAAAGAGCAAAACAAAACCCTCTTCCGTAATTATGTTAGTAATCGAATGGCATTACAAATTTCTCAAGATCACTTTCACCTAGCAACAATCTAGCGACTTCCCAAGCGCGTTAACATTAGGAAAAAATACGTTCTTAAATTTGGTTGTTTCATCTTGATGTACAGCGCTGAAATGCCAGGATTTCATAAGACATCAGAAATCAGTTGTTCCATATTAGATTTATTATCTTTGAAACCAAGCCCTGAGAAATGCATCCCGTACTGTAAGGTTTTCATTGTCGGTTGCCTTTAAGATGTTTGTTTTTCGTTTACGTGTTTACTTTACCCAAAGAACTGGAACATATCATTGCAACAGAATCTCTTCCCAGGTGTCAGGATCCTACGGCGATCCAGTCCCTGCTCCACAAATCAATGGTAAATAGCCCCGTCTCTGGTTTACTAGAGAAGATGGTTTTTCTTTTCACTTCTCGGACGATTACAGAAACTATTTATTACAAACAGGCCGGGAGCAGGCAAAAAAACCAGGCTGAGTCTCACATCCCGGGATCTTTTAAAACTCATTTTCATACAGAAGGGTGTCACTCGTCTTGTGGGGTGGGGGTGGGGTGTGGATTTTTAAAGAAAGGCCCTCGTAACTTCATCGCGCTACCGATACACTCAGCAGTGGAATCTACTCTAGATTTCTGGAAAGTTCAACCCCAGGTCTAACCTCCAGTCTTTCCTTTGGCCAACCAAGGAAGCCCTTCTCACCTTCAGTCGGCTCCCCAAACACTTCCCACTCACCCCTCCTTGCTAACAAAGCCTCTCCCACAGGAAGGAAACGATCCCCTCCATCCACACCTCTCCGGCATGCAGTCCTCACCCCCTCTCCTCAGACCTCCCTTGCCTCACCTTCTCCCACGGCGCCGGAGCTAGAGATTTAACCCCTTCCAGCCCTCAGAGGGAACGGGGAAGACTAAAGACAACGCACCTATTGCGTCTATCAATTCTGTTCCCCGAGGAAACGAGAGCTATAGAACAAAAAGTACCAGCTCCCTCACGCGAGGACTGAGTGAATTCTCCCCTGCTTGTTTGCAGGGAAACCAGTCAAGATACATGGCCGGCCGCCACGCACCTTGCCTGCCCCGCGGGTGGAGGAGTGGTGTGTGGGGCATTACTCCGGCCGGGTGCAGGACTTGTCCCAGGGAAGCCTCCTTGGGACTCTGACGTCTAGGACATTATAGCCGCCACCAGAAATATCGATGAGCTCTTACCCTCTGTTTAGAATGGAAGTTCTTTCCAAGGCAAATAAAAAGAAAGCGTTTCTTCCCATAGGTTAGTGGCATCCTCCTAGGCTGTAATACCAGCCAGCAAAGCACCACAAACCACATCCTGACTGCAGGGGAGGGCCGGGTGGAGGGCTCTGCACTCTGCATGTTGTGCCTGGCGCTCAAGCGGCTGGTGTCTTCGGGCCTGGAGAGTCCCAGCTCAGAGCGGGATCTGAGAGGAGGCGGAGATGGCGTCCCAGCCGCCGCCTCCGCCGAAACCCTGGGAGACCCGCCGGATTCCGGGGGCCGGGCCGGGGTCAGGACCCGGCACCACTTTCCAGTGAGTGTGCGATTTTTCAGGCCGCGAGTTTTGTGGGCCATAGCGGGGACTTGGCAGGAGGCGGTTGAGGCCGTTGTTGGGTGTGAAGTGTCCCCTCCCCCTCTCAACCAGCCCCCACCCACACCCCTAGTCGTAAGGGAGGTCGAAGTGCCTTCGGGGCGCCTGCAAGGGGAATTCGGTGTCAGACAGCTGCTTCTGACTCGGCGGCTCTCGGCAGCGACGTTTCCGGGAGGGGTAGCGATAGTCCTGGGCTCCTGAGTGCCGGTGCTTGGAAGAAAGGGTCAGGTACCACCTGTCCCTTCTGTTTGGGGGACACCCTGACTGAACTGCACGACTCTCTTCCCCCCGCCACCCCTACCTTAAAGAGTTAAGACTTTCGGTCCGTAGCAGGTGAGAGAGGCATTTGCCCGGCCCCGGCTCGTCAGGGAGCGAAGTCTCTCGAAAGCTTTTAACCATCTCTCGACAAGTTGGTGAAAGCCCAAAAGGTCACTTTTACACAACTGGAACTCAAGCCTGTACTGTTTGCGTTCTTTTCCAGCATAACTCAGCAATGTTTCGGATAAAGATTTGGAAAAGCAACAAGCGGGAGTTAAAAAACTGAGGCCTACGAGTGGCCTTTGTGTGCTAGATAGTGTGTGATTTTTTTCTAAGGCCTGTGGTTTTTTGTTTGGTTTTAATCAGTGTTAAATGGATCTACAACTCAAAAAAGGCTAAAATAGAATAAAAGAGAAGAATTTCACATAGAGAATGGGTTCTTGTTGCCAGGAAGAACGTGTTTTGTGTTGGGTGGATCTGGACATCTTTTTTTTTAATTTTTTATATTGGAGCAGAGTTGGTTAATGTGTTAGTTTCAGGTGTACAGCAAAGTGATTCAGTTATACACATACATGTATCTATTCTTTTTCAAATTCTTTTCCCATTTAGGTTATTACAGAATAGTAAGCAGTGTTCCCTGTACTATACAGTAGGTCCTTGTTGGTTATCTATTTTAAATATAACTGTGTACATTGTCAATCCCAAACTCCCAATCTATCCCTTCCGCCCTTGTAATCATAAGTTCTGTTCTCTAAGTCTGTGGATCTGGGCATCTTAATTCAGATGGTGAGACTCGAATGTCACATTGCCTACCTACTGTGGTAGGTTTACTTACATAGAAATCCCCAACATACTGGAATGTATTTCTGCTATGCTCTAAAATCTTGTAATGTTTTTTTAAGGTGTTTGAACACAATTGCTACTTTATTTAATAATGAAGGTATATCAGTAGTAAGCTTTAATTATGCTATTAAGTTGGGATGACACTTTATGCTACTTTTTAAAAAATAAATTTGTTTTATTTATTTTTGGCTGCGTTGGGTCTTCGTTGCTGCGCACAGGCTTTCTCTAGTTGGCAGCGAGCAGGGGTTACTCTTCGTTGCGGTGGGTGGGCTTCTCATGGCAGTGGCTTCTCGTTGCGGAGCATGGGCTCGAGGCACATGGGCTTCAGTAGTTGTGGCTCGCGGGCTCTAGAGCACAGGCTCAGTAGTTGTGGCGCACGGGCTTAGTTGATCCTCAGCATGTGGGATCTTCCCAGACCAGGGCTCAAACCCGTGGCCCCTGCATTAGCAGGCAGATTAGCATTTTTTGCTAATATAAAAGTAGCATCTGCTACCTTTTTTTATGAGTGGTTTGACCTTCTTTAAAAATTTGGACTGCTCTTTAGAAGAGAGATGTTTTATTTTTGCATCTGTTAAAGTTCTGTTTGTAAGATTAACCATTTTCCCATTTTTTAAGAAAATGTGAAGTATTTTAAACACCTAGAGACTGGTAGAGAGTAAGATGATGAATACTTGTGTATTAGCTCCCAGCTTTAAGAAATATTAACATTTTACCAGATTCGCCTCAGATTTTTAAAAAAATAAAAATTAGAGCAACAGTTAAACCCTCCCATTCTTCTTTCCTATGGTAACTACTGTCCCTATTTGGTTTTTATTGTACACAATGTTTTTATACTTCATTATTGAGCTTTGTATGTACATTACATATGTATATATGTATGTATTATTATTCAGTATATTTTTGACTTTAAATATATTTGAACTGTATGTATCATTTGCAAAGTGTTTTTCCACTAAGTATTATTTATTTTGAGATTTATCTTGTTCATTCTTGTAACTGTACAGGCATACTTGGGAGGTATTGCAGGTTGGATTCAGACCACTGCAGTAAATCAAATATCGCAATAAAGCGAATGAATATTGCAATAAAGCGAGTCACATGAGTTTTTTTGGTTTCCCAGTGCATATAAAAGTTATGTTTATACTCTACTGTAGTCTATTAAGTGTGCAATAGCATTATGTATAAAGAAACAATGTATATAACCTTAAAGATACTTCATTGCTAAAAAAATGCTGACCATCACCTGAGCCTTCAGCCAGTTGTAATCTTTTTGTTGGTGGAGAGTCTTGCCTCGATGTTGACTCATTGGAGGTGGTTGCTGAAGGCTGGGGTGGTTGTGGCAGTTTCTTTAAATAAGACCACAATGAAGTTTGCCACATTGGTTGAGTCTTCCTTTCTCGAACATTTCTCTGTAGCATGCAGTACTGTTTGATAGCATTTTACCCACAGTAGAACTTCTTTCAAAATTGGAGTAAATTTTCTCAAACCCTGATGCTGCTTTATCAGCTAAATTTACATAGTAGTCTAAATCCCTTGTTGTCATTTCAACAATCTTCATATCTTCTTCACCAGGAGTGGATGCCATCTCAAGAAACCACTTTCTTTGCTTACCCATAAGGAGCAGCTCCTCATCTGTTAGTCTTATCATGAGATTACAGCAATTCAGTTACATCTTTAGGCTTCACTTTTATTTTTAGTTCTCTTGCTATTTCCACCACATCTGTAGTTACTTGCTTCACGGAAGTCTTGAACCCCTTTAAAGTCATCCATGAGGGTTGGAATCAACTTCTTCCAAACTCCTGTTAAAGTTGATATATTGAACTCATCCCATGTATCACAGATGTTCTTAATGGCATCTAAAATGGTGAATCCTTTTAGAAAGGGTTTCAATTTACTTTGCCCAAGTCCATCAGCGAAATCACCATCTATGGCAGCTATAGCCTTATGAAATTTATTTCTTAGATAATAAGACCTAAAAGTCGAAATGACTGCTTGATCCATGGGCTACAGAATGGATATTGTGCTAGCAGACATGAAAACAACATTAATCTCATTGTACACCTCCATCAGCTCTTGGGTGACCAGTTGCATTATCAGTGAGCAGTAATATTTTGAAAGGAATCTTTTCTTCTGAGCACTAGGTCTCAACAGTGGGCTTAAAATATTTAGTAAACCATATTGTAAACAGATGTGCTGTCATGCAGGCTTTGTTGTTCCACTGATAGAGCACAGGCAGAGTAGATTTAGCATAATTCTTAAGGGCCTTAGGATTTTCAGAATGGTAAATGAGCATTGGCTTCATCTTCAGGTTCCAGCAGCATTAGCCCCTAACAAGAGAGTCAGCTGGTCCTTTGAGGCTTTGAAGCCTGGTATTGCCTTCCCTCTAGCCATGAAAGCCCTAGATGGCATCTTCTTCCCATAGAAGGCTATTTTGTCCGCATTGAAAATCTGTTGTTTAGCATAGCCACCTTCGTTAATTATCTTAGCTAGATCTTCTAGATAACTTGCTGGAGCTTCTACACCAGCACTTGCAGCTTTACCTTGCACTCTTATGTTATGTAGATGGCTTCTTTCCTTAAACCTCCTGAAACAACCTCTGCTAGCTTCAGACTTTTCTTCTGCAGCTTCCTCATCTCTCAGCCTTCACAGAATTGAAAAGCGTTAGGGCCTTGCTCTGGATTAGGTTTTGGTTAAGGGAATGTTAATGGCTGCTTTGATTTAGCTAGACCACTAAAACTTTCGTCATGTCAGCAATAAGGCTGTTTCACTTTATCAATAGCGTGTTCGCTGGAGTAGCACTTTTAATATCCTTCAAGAACTTTTCCTTTGCATTCACAGCTTGGCTAACAGTTTGGTGCAAGAGGCCTAGCCTTTGGCCTATCCTGACTTTTGACATGCCTTCCTCTCTAAGCTTAATCATTTCTAGCTTTTGATTTAGAGGCGTGTGACTCTTCCTTTCACTTGAACACTTAGAGGCCGTTGTAGGGTTATTAACTGGCCTAATTTCAACATTCTTATGTCTTAGGGAATAAAGGAATCTCGAGAAGAGAGAGAGACATGGGAGGAAAGGCTGGTCGCTGGAGCAGTCAGAACACACACATTTATTTTGAGAGTTTGCTGTCTTATAGGGGCACAGTTCATGGTGTCCTAAAACAACTAGAATAGTAACATAAGAGATCACTGATCACCATAACAAATATAATAGTAATGAAAAAGTTTGAAATATTGTGAGAATTACCAGAATGCGACACAGACACGAAGTGAGCAAATGCTGTTCAAACAATGGTGCAGATAGATGGGCTTGACCCAGGGTTGCAACAAGCCTTCAATTTGTAAAAAACACGATCTGCAAAGCATCATAAAATGAGGTATGCCTGTAGTTCGTTTTAACTGCCATAGAATATTCTGTTATATAAAAGCAAACTATTTGTTCTGTTATAGATATTAGAGTATTAGTTGTTAAATATTTAAAGCTACTGCAGTCAAAATTCATGTGTCTTTCTCCTTGTGCACATTTCCAAGAGGTTTTCTGGGAGGAGAGTTGCTTGCTGGAAGGGTATGCTTATCTTCAAGTACTGACTATCACCAAGGTGCTCCTCGAAGTGGTCGTATACCAATTTTTACATTTTCACTAGCAAGGTATTCTGTTTCTCTACATTTTTTCCAATACTTGTTGTTATTTTGTAGTACTGTATTTACCAATCTAATAGATGTGAAATCAGTAATAAAATTGAGGATCTTTTTGAATGTTGATTTGAAATTTTTTCTGTTGGTAATCTTTTGCCCACTTTTATGTTGGCTTTATCTTTGCTTATCAATTTGTAGGAGTACTTTATTGTTTG